CACTGCTTGGGGACGCAACAATCTTGTACAGTTCAATGCTTCCAAAACACAGTACTGTACTTTGACGAACAAAAAGCGTCCTAGTGCTCATACAGTTTCGATGGACGGCCAAAGAGCCATTCATTTCGGCTGGTCGGAGTCCAGATCCTGACCTGGCACGAACACATCTCGTCAATAGCTGCAGCTGCTGGGAAAAAGCTAGGCTATTTGTTTAGGGCTAAGAAGTACTTTTCTCCGCATGACCTTCTTACTCTATACAAGGCTCAGATAAGGCCTAGCCTCGAGGATTGCTCACACGTTTGGGGTGTTGTCGCCCCGACTAAATTATTCATGTTCGATGCTGTCCAGAGGAAGGCGGTCCGAATGATCGATGACTCTTCTCAACAGACAATCTCGGGACTCTTTCGCACCGGCGGGCCGTCGGCGATCTAGCTCTTTTCTACCGCTACACCAACGTGCTTTGCCCCTCAGAGCTCTCTTCCATGATGCCGCCGCGCGATGTGCCTGCCAGGCAGACCCGCCTGACTTTGGCGTCCCATCCTAACCGTGTCGAACTTCGTACATCTCGAACTGGCTGATACGACCGCTCCTTTGTCCCGAGGGTATCGAGATTGTGGAACAATCCACAAGAGGAAGCTCTTTCCAGTTCTACTAACCTTAGGCAGGTCAAAAATCGTATTAACAAAATTTCTTTGGGATCATCATAGCAGCCGCGGCTGCTTCGATATATACAGGGTGTTTCAGTTTATTGTTGCATACCTTTAAGATTCGATAGAACTCTTAAAATTAATGCATAAAGTCTATATAAACATGGGTCGAAAAATGCGTGGCTTCCGAAATACAGGGTGTTTAAATTTACTTTCTAAAATAGTTTTTTTTACATATTTCGAACAATATTTGATGTATAACAGTGAACATTTTTATACAAGGGTTTTTTGGTACGACAAAACGTACCATGGGCATAGTTTTATTGTAGCCACTAGAGGGCGCTCTCTACTGTACCTGTAGTGTATTAAAATGACCGAAAAATTTTTCTTAGTGCAATTCTCTGCTATTTGAATAAAAAACTGATTCTTCACACTTTTCAACATAAAAAAGGTCTCTTGTGAATTGTGTAATTATTTATGATAAAATAACGTTAAAAAGTCAGTATCCCGATAATTTTTAGAAGTAGGCTGTGCCTGCAAATATTTTTGAAATTGGAAGCAGAATAAGGTTAAACGTCAATTAGTTCACAGTTAGTTTTCTTGTCTGTTGAAACCTGAAACGTTTTTGTGCAATTGTGAATGCACGAAACTTAGTTTCTTTTACCTGTTTTTTTTTTGTAAGTTTTATAAAAATGCCATTTTTATTCTCCAATCAAGAGTTAGCGGATATTCATTTTGTGTATGGCTTTGTAAATGGAAACGCAGCAGAAGCAGCCAGAGAATACGCACGAAGATTTCCAAACAGACGACATCCAACTCGCTCAGTATTTGTAAGAGTGCATCGCCAAATAATTGAAAATGGTTTTGGAAATCTCCAAAGGGATCAAAACATAAATATTCGTCAGCGCAGATTTACCCGTATGATTCTGCGTGAGTTTGATAGAGATCCGACCACAAGTGTTAGGAGAGTTTCTGCTGCCTTGAGAATTTCAGCAAGCCATGTTCACCGTGTTCTTAGAAATAACCATAGACGTCCTTACCATTTGCAACCTGTGCAAGGACTACAGCCAGGGGACGGAGAACGAAGAATCACATTTTGTCAGTGGATTCTTGATAGAACTGATAATAATAGGGAGTTTTTAAGTAACGTTTTATGGACCGATGAGTCATGCTTCACTAGACGTGGAGTGGTAAATTTTCATAATCCACATATTTGGTCGCATGAAAATCCGCATGCAGTTCGGGAAAGAAATTTTCAGCATGAATTTAGTGTGAACGTGTGGATTGGTATCTACCGTAATCGACTATTTGGACCCTACCTTTTGCCTGCAAGGTTAAATGCTGCGACCTTCTTGGAATTTTTAAAGGCTGAACATGCAAATATGTGGGATGATGGTATGGTAGATTTAAGAAGATTGGCCTGGTTCCAGCTTGATGGTTGTCCAGCTCATTATTCGAGAATAGTTAGAAACTGGCTGGACGAAAATTATCCAGAAAGATGGATCGGCCGTGGAGGACCAGTCGCCTGGCCTCCACGATCCCCTGACCTAAATCCATTAGATTTCTTTGTGTGGGGATTTCTAAAAGAAAAAGTGTACCAGACTCCCGTAACCACAAGAGATATGCTAATAGACAGAATCAGGAATGCATGTGATGAAATAAGGCCTTATTTGAATAATGCTATACCACGTTCGATCATTCGTAGATGTGAATTGTGTATTGAACAATTGGCTTTACATTTCGAGCAACTACTTTAGATTTTGTATGTTTGTCCTAACTATCCAATAGCATTTTAGTTGTAAATAATTAATTTAATTTGTTAAAAATAATATTGGAAAATTAAACAAATTAATATTCCGTTTTTTTTGTGTTTATTTGGAGTTAGGAATTATTGCTGTGTTTAAAAACACAATCTAAACGATCATCTTAACTACTTGTAATGCCCAAATCGAAAATGTAAAAAAAATATTATTTTCCCATAAATAATAAAAAATGCGTCGAACCTTAAAAATCGAAATATCTCAAAAACGGCTAACTATAACGAAAACTCACAGGAGAGCTTTTTTATGTTGAAAAGTGCGAAGAATCAGTTTTTTTATTCAAAAAGCAAAAAATTGCACGAAGAAAATTTTTTCGGTCATTTTAATACACTACAGGTACAGTAGAGAGCGGCTACAGTAAAACTATGCCCATGGTACGTTTTGTTGTACCAAAAAACCCTTGTATAAAAATTTTCACTGTTATACATCAAATATTGTTCGAAATATTTAAAAAAAAAACTATTTTAGAAAGTAAATTTAAACACCCTGTATTTCGGAAGCCACGCATTTTTCGACCCATGTTTATATAGACTTTATGCATTTATTTTAAAAGTTCTATCGAATCTTAAAGTTATGCAACAATAAACTGAAACACCCTGTATAAAATAAAGAGTCCGCGATTCAAATAAGCAGCCGCAGTAAATTAGATTTATTATCAACTTTTAATTAAACTGGTTCCAGAAAATTCAGTTTGATTAACTCTAATAATTTAGTTACTTAGAATAATTAAAGAATGTATTATGAATAATGAAAATTTCCCAGAAAATCTGTTTAATTGACCACGTTTTCTCAGTGTAATGTTTTTTTTGACAGTGTGAGTGTTGGACCACTTCAGGACATGATATTCCTTGCATCATTTGCGAAGATCTGTACAAGCTTAATGAAGGTAGATATTTTGAACGGTAAGTATGTAAATACAACATTGTCAGTTTAACACACTGAAACCATGCAAATTTGGTGGCAAACAATGCAATGTGGACATATCTCAACGACCTCCTTTCCTGCACGATCAACCCAATCCACAGCTTCGCTGATGACAGCACTCTACATGCCAACGATCCACAGGGGACCTCCTAGCTTACGTCACGCAATTGTGGAGTAAACTCATCCAGTCTTATGGTGAGGCTCATGTCGCTGCTCTTGACATCACGAAAGTGTTCGATCAGCTGTGGCACGCTACCCTCTTAAGCAAACTTCCATCCTATGGCCTCCCAGAAAAGCTTTGCAGATGGCTGGCTGACTTTATCTCTGGCCGCAAGATATCCGTCTTAATTGACGGGTTCTCGTTTTTATCCCACAACGTCAACGCGGGTGTTCCCCAGGGATCGGTCTTGGCTCCGACACTGTTTCTCTTACATATCAACAACCTCCTTTCCTGCACGATCAACCCAATCTACAGCTTCACTGATGACAGCACTCTACATGCAGGAATTCAGAGTGACAAGCCGATCTCTGCCGCTGAGCTGGAAAAAACAAGACTAGCGACGACTTCCTCTCTGACGAGAGAGCTAGAAATTATCACTGCTTGAGGTGCAGCTTATGCAAGAGTTGAAATAAAATCACCATCCGCTTCGATATCGTTTCTCTGTGTGGGCTGTAAATCAATTGGAAACGGACGTCAATTTTGGTCGCCAGAGGTTACGTTAACAAGCAGAACTGTAGGATTTGGGGTTCTGAAAATCCACATGTCGTCATAGAAAAACCAATGCATTCAAAAAGAGTAACCGTTTGGTGTGGCTTTTGGAGTGGTAGAACTATTGATCCCTACTTCAAGATGAAGATGGGAACAGCATGACGGTAAACGGGGAACGCTATACAGACATGTTGAGGGGTTTTTGTGGCCACTACGTATTAGACAATATGCACTTGCACAATCTCTGGTTCCAGCAGGATGGCGCAACATGCCAGACCAGCCGTGAAACAATCGATCTTTTGCACACTAAGTTTGGTCATCGCGTTATCAGCCGTTTTGGAGACGTTCATTGGCCAGCCGGCAGCTGTATTACTTTCTGTTAAGGACCGCTGTTACACAAACGATGCTCAAAAAATTGTGGTTCTGAAAGAAAATATCCGTCGAGCTATTGATGAAATAGATCCACAAACGATCGAAAATCTGCTTTAAAATTGGTTTACGGGAATGGACTACTACCAGGCCAGCCGAGGCATCCATTTAACTGAAATTGTTTTTCATAAATAATCGGAAGGTGTATTCTTTTGAATAAAGTATCGAGTGTTACATATTATTGAAGAGTGTCGTTTTAATACCAATTTAAAAAAGAAAACAGTACATGGCCCATCCTTTATATTATGACCTTAATATTGTCTCAAATAATATTGATCTTGTTGCACGCCGAACCAGCAGAGGAGAATAGTACCGACAATGACCAGTCTATTAAATAAGGAGCTTTTTGTTCGTTTCAATCGACCGCACTAATAGATATGACCTTAACATTGACGGTCGTACCAAGTTCCTCTAGATCTTGTCACAAGCCGAAGAAGAACGCGAAGCAGAGGAAAAGAGTACCGGCGACCTAGCGGTTTACTACTAGTCGGTTCGGTCAGTAAAGCCGTCGCGGACGTTGGTACGACTTTGGTACGCTTTGGTACCACTATACAGTTGCGGTTTTCTCGTCGATTTTTGACGCGATAAGTGATGAGGGGTTCAGGCAAAGATCGATGACATGGAAACATACAATTGCATCCCAAATACTGCCAAGAATAAGCTCAGGCCCAATATAGCTGGAAGTGTACACAATGTATCTAGGTGCACTAGGCCTTTTGCGGTAAATATGTAATGGTGTAATAATTTATAGTGTATACGAGGTGAATGAAAAAAAAATGTGTTTGATATCCGTTGGGGAACAGTAGCAGAATTTAGTAATTAATATGTTTATTTTGTTCCAATGATAAGTTTAGTGAATTCCTCTTTCTTACGAAGAACTACGCGAAGCAAACATTCAGAGTTTGGTGCTCAGAAATAGAGTATTTTTCGAAAATGCCCATGGATGTACTCGTACCTGAAAATCATAGTGTCGAAAGGCAATAACTTTTGTTTAATTCAGTTATACCAGAAGTAGTTCAAAATAATTTAGGAAGAATGCAAGGTATGTCTTGGCGTTTTGCCAGCCACACGCCTATATTATCAAATTGAATGCAGCAAGAACGCCACTTTTGGGTTTCTTTGTGTATCCTGAAGTAAAAATGAATTATGCTAAATTAATGTTTCTCCATATTTTCGCAGCATCGTACAACTACAAATTGAAAATTGGGAAAGATGAATTCTAACTAAAAAAAGATTCCCGAAAATAGATTCACTAGGTACCTCCCCTACAGGGTGATTCGGAAAACTGACAATACTTCTAAAGCAGAAATTAGGTCCAAAAATAACACGAAAAGCTTATATAGACATCATCCCTAGAACACTCCCTTAAGATAATAAGAGTTTAAGTTATAATTTTGAAATAATTTTCGTGGCATAGAAGCTTTGACCTCTGCAGGGGGAAAATAATTCCTACGCCATTGTTTTTTTAATGGAACAAATGTTGCAATTTTGAATAAAGTATTTAGTTTTACATGAACCAACTCCTTCGGGAAATTTTTGACAAAACTATTCTTTTGGAGAAAAAATGTTTTATTTAATACTCGAGATGCAACTTTAAACGTTTTAGCTTTGATACAATGGATTTAGTGATTTTTGATACTGTAAACTGTATGACATGTACTGTGTGAGTAATCTCATCTTGTCATACCGTTGTTTAAAGAATATCCATGTTTTGTTCTTATTCGGTGTCATCAGTGGCATCTCGCTAATGGAGCATTTAGGACTTATATCTGTATTTATACCTTCTATTCTAGAATCTAGTTATATGGTCATGTTTTTTGAATGACCCTGTATAGTATCACGAAAATTTTGGAATAAAAAAAGAGTTTAACGTTTATTTAAATAAGAACGACTAAACAGAAGAAAATGAGGAAGGTAGGCATAAAGCAAGTATCTTTGCTTCTTTCTTAGCACAATAATAGCCGTTGAAATATTCAAAAATCTCTCAAAATGGCTCTCTGGATATGAAAAAAATATACTTGCTGCTTTTGACCGCAGGGACTGTTCCTCAAATTTTACTATTTGGTATTTTCAAGTTGAGAAAAGTTCCAAAAGGTGGACCCCGTAAGGCTATAATTTTAAAAAATATGAAAAATAGCTTAGAATATGTTTTATTTGTTTTAGCATTTTATGAGTTATAGTTGAAAATTAGGTGCCAAAACCGGACCCCTTTTAAAAGCTGTTAATTTTTAATTACGATTTAATTCTCAAGTATATTAAAAACAGATACATTGTTTTCGCTTTCGTAGCGAGAAAAGTTGCAGACATACACTTATTTTTCTGCCTGCTGCTTCAGGCATCAGCCATTTTAGGAGGGCTCTATCATCTCTTATTATTTTTTCAAAAAACTAGCGGATAGCAGAAACTTCCCTATCCTATAAAATCTCAATCAAATATCTAAACGAACTAATTTCATGAGAAAGGCTCACCTAGGATCTTGCCATTCAAGAAAATGTCTAGTTATAAAGGCTTACTTGCAAGTATCTAGAAATAATAATGGAATTGCAGCACTGTGAAAAAACCTTTGCCATTATCGAAATAAATAATCGTGGATGCCTAAGCTTATATTCACACTTAGCAATAATGAAGTTTCTTTCAGAGAGTGCCGAGTCAATAAGACCGGGGTACGCATTAGGAAACGTTTCCGGTTAAAGGTCTACGATTTTAATAATTCACTCACAAAGCTGTGAATGACCTTTTTGTGTGTATGTATTTAGTTTCGAGCATTCCAGTTTTGGTAACTGTTCTGTATGTAAACGTTGTTATTGTGTAGCAATCTAGTAGTTTTCCCCGACTGTCTCAGAAGGATGATTATCTTTTTCGTACGCGGGACAAAAAGTTGTATTTCTTGGGCTACATACCAAACGGCATGATGGTTTTTGCTATTTGAGGCGTCAAACCGAAGGTAGCAGCGGTGGCCGCAGTAGTAGACTCTTCGGTCTCCTGATCAGTCGCCGTGCGCTGTGCGGGTTCGAGTCCCGTCCCAGGAGAAATTTTTCCCTTGGCTATGGATGTTGTGATAGTCCGTAGGTGGTAGACGGTCTCTGACTGTCGAACGCGGAGGTACCACCCGGCGGATCTCGTAGGCGGAGCCAGAATGTGTGCATGTTGCATGCACACGTGTTCCCTCGCCAGAGTCCGTGTGGCGTTCTCCCTTTCCCATGTATCCCCCTATAGCCCCACGGTACCCAATGGGTAGGCCTTCGTGGTAGATGGAGTATAAAAAAAAATTGATAAGGTTATTCTTCTTAGATAGCGTAGTGATTAAAACATGTTGTTTTGTAGTACAATCATAGACACTTTGAATGACCCAGGAATTTTGAATTCGATTTTCTGATATTACATACATTTGTTGGGATGGGCGATCATTTTGGAAAATTTGTGGTTTACTTGCACTTCCCTATTCTTTTGATCAATTCAGAGCTTCGTAAATTCAATATCGTACTTCATTATTTTGCCTACGTTTATTATTTTTCTTATCTTGTCAGTTATACAAGAAGATAGCGATGAAAACCAACTAAATTTCCCAAAATGTCACATTCCTTACACAAGGATGGACAATTTAGTGTTCTTTTATTTCATTTTTAGTTCCCACGGAACTTTCTAAAATATGTTCTTTAGATGTTATATGACATTTATATCACAAAAAAACCATGTCACTCATTTCTGTCTGTCTGTCTTATAACCGCCTACAATTTCGTTTTTTGACGGCATTTTTTTGTATGTCTACAAGATAATTTTTCAGTTACCCTTGTAATGTAGTAGCGAAACTCTATACCCAGACACATGAATTGCTACGGGGCTAAGTAAGCATCTCTATGATACGAGACCAATTTATACTTATAAGTTTGGATTGTCCTTCTCTGAAACAACTACGCCTGGAATAACAGCTAAAATGTGGTGAAACATTGGCGAAATGGTAAAAAAATAATAAATGGATAAGTATTCACCGTCCATTCGCAGAAAAATTTCAAGTACGGCTCTGTCACTTATAAGTACTGTTAGTTGACGTCGTTGGTAAAATGTTATCAGCCCATTCGGAAGAATGAAACTACCAATTACCATGCCAGCCCAAAAATTTAATGAAAATGTCTGTTATTCACACCGTTCCGTGTGAAGGTTGATTCGTCTGATATGGACTTCAACAATCCCGGATTATTGGTGCAACAACCAGTCACAAAAACGCATTCCTGCAAGAGAATCATCATCTTGGAGGGCTTGTACAACAGGGTCACGCAGCATTTGCCACACTTCCTTCTTGGAGAGTTGTACTTGTCTAGCCACTTCCCTAGTACTTGTTAAAGGATTTTCTTCTATAGGATTCTACAGGGTGTAAACGTTATGGTAATCATTATTGAAATGGGTAATAGGAGGGTCAAAACAAGTAATAAAGTTTATATGACCCATGGTCCAAAAGTCAATAGATTTTTGTCTAAACGGCTTTATAGTTTACAACTTTAAGTGCTTTATATCGACCACAATCTTACTAATTTTTATAATTGATAAATAAATGGCATTAAGTTTTTCTAAGTTAAGCCAAAATTTATAGTCAGTAAGCAAGTTTCATTAAACTAAATATTTAAAACACACATGACAACAGCGCGTCAGTTTTTCGTCACTCTTATCGAAGCGGCAATCGATCGCAAACAGTAACAGTGGTTAGTATGTTGTTTTGTTTTTGTTCGCGTACGTCGTCGTGTTTATTTTTACAATGTTCTCGATTCAAGAGTTCGCCGACATGTAGTTAGTTTACGGTGAAGCTCGTAAGAATTCAAATCTTGCAGCTCAAATTTATCGCGATAGATTTCGCCAACGGGTACACCAAGACAGAAGGACATTTGTGCAAGTCTACCGAAGACTTCGAGATACAGGAAGTGTTCAGCCCACTAATATTCGCACTCGTGAAAGACAAGTTACTGTAGAGCAGGAGGCACGAATTTTAAATATCGTGGAAATCAATGCAGATATCAGCACTCGGGAATTAGGGCGCCGCGTAGGACTATCGCATACCATAGTCCATAGAATCCTACGGGAAAATTTGCTTTATCCCTACCATGTACAAGGAGAGCAGGCCTTGTTACCAGAAGACTATCCTCGCAGACTAACATCCTGTCAGTGGTTTTTACACAAAAACAGTGAAAATCCGGATTTTTTTAAAAACATTCTAGTGACGGACGAATGTACTTAAACGCGAGACGGGATATTAAATTTCCATAATACTCACACGTGGACCAAAGAAAATCCTCATACCATTCGTCAAGGTCATTTCCAACAACGTTTTAAAATAAATATTTGGGCGGGTACTCTTTACGATCAGGTAATTGGCCCTTTCGAGTTACCCCAAAGTTGTCAGGAGAAGGATACCTTAGCTTTCTAGCCAATAACCTACCAGAACTTTTGGAACAGACCTTAGGCAACATGCCATTACAACGGAGACAGAATTTGTGGTTTCTTCATGACGGGGCACCACCACACATTTTTAGAGGCGTCATTCAGTATTTGAATGAACATTATCCAAATCGCTGGATCGGTCGAAATGCTCCTGATCCTCGAAAATGGCCAGCAAGGTCTCCTGACCTCAATCCGATGGATTTCTGGTGTTGGGGAGAACTTAAATGGATGGTTGATGGGGCTAGTCCAATAACAACTGAAGCATAACTTCGGGAAAAAATTTAATGCGTC